CGACACTGGCGCAAAGGCTAGCAGGCGTGGCACTTTCTCGACACCACAGGGGGTGCGCAGGGGGTGGTCTCTCAGTTCGGCCGCTATCCACGACACTGGCGCAAAGCCTAGCAGGCGTGGCACTTTCTCGACACCACAGGGGGTGCGCAGGGGGTGGTCTCTCAGCTCGGCCGCTATCCACGACACTGGCGCAAAGCCTAGCAGGCGTGGCACTTTCTCGACACCACAGGGGGTGCGCAGGGGGTGGTCTCTCAGCTCGGTCGCTATCCACGACACTGGCGCAAAGCCTAGCAGGCGTGGCACTTTCTCGACACCACAGGGGGTGCGCAGGGGGTGGTCTCTCAGCTCGGCCGCTATCCACGACACTGGCGCAAAGCCTAGCAGGCGTGGCACTTTCTCGACACCACAGGGGGTGCGCAGGGGGTGGTCTCTCAGCTCGGCCGCTATCCACGACACTGGCGCAAAGCCTAGCAGGCGTGGCACTCTCTCGACACCACAGGGGGTGGGCAGGGGGTGGTCTCTCAGCTCGGCCGCTATCCACGACACTAGCAGGCGTGGCACTTTCTCGACACCACAGGGGGTGCGCAGGGGGTGGTCTCTCAGCTCGGCCGCTATCCACGACACTGGCGCAAAGCCTAGCAGGCGTGGCACTTTCTCGACACCACAGGGGGTGCGCAGGGGGTGGTCTCTCAGCTCGGGCTATCCACGACACTCTCGTGGCACTCTCTCGACACCTCGGCCGCTATCCACGACACTGTCGCAAAGCCTAGCAGGCGTGGCACTTTCTCGACACCACAGGGGGTGCGCAGGGGGTGGTCTCTCAGCTCGGCCGCTATCCACGACACTGGCGCAAAGGCTAGCAGGCGTGGCACTTTCTCGACACCACAGGGGGTGCGCAGGGGGTGGTCTCTCAGCTCGGCCGCTATCCACGACACTGGCGCAAAGCCTAGCAGGCGTGGCACTTTCTCGACACCAAAGGGGGTGGGCAGGGGGTGGTCTCTCAGCTCGGCCGCTATCCACGACACTGGCGCAAAGCCTAGCAGGCGTGGCACTTTCTCGACACCACAGGGGGTGCGCAGGGGGTGGTCTCTCAGCTCGGCCGCTATCCACGACACTGGCGCAAAGCCTAGCAGGCGTGGCACTTTCTCGACACCACAGGGGGTGCGCAGGGGGTGGTCTCTCAGCTCGGCCGCTATCCACGACACTGGCGCAAAGCCTAGCAGGCGTGGCACTTTCTCGACACCACAGGGGGTGCGCAGGGGGTGGTCTCTCAGCTCGGCCGCTATCCACGACACTGGCGCAAAACCTAGCAGGCGTGGCACTTTCTCGACACCACAGGGGGTGCGCAGGGGGTGGTCTCTCAGCTCGGCCGCTATCCACGACACTGGCGCAAAGCCTAGCAGGCGTGGCACTTTCTCGACACCAAAGGGGGTGGGCAGGGGGTGGTCTCTCAGCTCGGCCGCTATCCACGACACTGGCGCAAAGGCTAGCAGGCGTGGCACTTTCTCGACACCACAGGGGGTGCGCAGGGGGTGGTCTCTCAGCTCGGCCGCTATCACACTGGCGCAAAGCCTAGCAGGGAACATTCGCGACGAGGGCTCAGAACCCAGGATTGTGCATATATATATATATATATATATATACATATACATAAGCAAACACATAAGATTTAAATTAAGTATGTGGGGTTCCTCGGTAGCGTAATTTTGGCCTTTTCGGGCCTTCCTGGAGGCCCTCTCAGGGGCCTCTTGGGACGTCTTGGAGACCTCTTGGGGGCCTCTTGGGCCGTCGTGGGCCATCTTGGAGCAATCTTGGGCCGTCTTGTTGGGCTCCGAGAAGCCGTCTTGGGGACCTCCCTGGGCCGACTTGGGGCCCTCTTGGGGTGCTCCAGGGCAGCCATCTTGGGGCTCCTTGGGGCCGTCTTGGGGGCCTCTTGGGGCTTTCTGATGCCATCTTGGAGGCCTCTTGGGCCGTCTTGGGGCGATATTTGGGGCTCTTGGGCCACCTCGGGCCATCGGAAGGCCGAAAAGAAACCGATTCGAAACTCCTTCAAAAACGCACAGGGAATCAATGATTTTGGTCTCTTCGGGCCTTCCTGGAGGCCCTCTTGGGCCGTCTTGGAGACCTCTTGGGGGCCTCTTGGGCCGTCTTGGGCCACCTTAGATCAATATTAGGCCGTCTTGATGGCCGCCTGACCCGTCTGCTTCCGTCGGAAGCCGTCTTGGGGGCCTCGCTGGGCCGACTTGGGGCCCTCTTGGGGTGCTCCAGGGCCGTCTCGGAGGTCATCTTGGGCGCCCTGGAGGCCTCTTGGGCCGTCCTGGGGCCGTCTTGGAGGCTTCTTGGGCCGTCATGAGGTCATATTGGAGGCTTTTGAAGCCATATTGGGGCGATCTCGGGGGCCTCTTGGGCCGTATTGGGCTGTCTGCTGGCCGAAAAGAAGCAAATGCCAAAATCCTTCAAAAACATAGGGGGGATTAATGATGTTGGACTCTGACGGCTTGGGGGCGTCGTGAGGGCTTCATGGACCGTCTTGGGTCATGTTGGAGCCCCTTGGGTCATTCGGGTGACCTACTGTGGCCCTCTTGGGGCTCTCTTGGGAACTTTGTGTGACCCTCCGTCTTGGGGGCCTCTGGGGCCGTGTTGGGGCGGTCTTGGGGGCCTCGTGGGCCGTTCTGGACGCTGTGAAGAACAAAGAAGCGAATCTGCTAAACATGTACACGTTCCTGGCGGAATGAGACGATGTTTGCTTCTTGCGGGTCCCTTCTGAGAGCGTCTTGGGGCGCGTTGTTGGCTTCTTGGGCTGTCGTGAAGCCATGTCGGGCCCTCTTGGAGGGCTTTTGGGCAGTTTCCGTGCACTCTGGGACCTCTCCGACGCCGTCGTAGAGGTAGGTTGGGCGTGTTGGGGGCTGTCTTGCCCAAGAGGCCTCCATGATGGCCCCAGAACGGCCCAAGAGGTCCCGTAAGGCGGCCCCAAGAGGGCCCCAGGATTTCCCAAGAGGCCTCTAAGACGCCCATGATGGCCTCCAGGACGGCCCATGCCTTAAGACAGCCAAAGAGCCCCCCGAGAAGCCCCCACAGGCCCCCAAGAGGCCCAAGGAGGCCCCCAAGATGCCTCCAAGAGGCTCCCAGGAAACTCCCAGGAAGCCCCAAAAGTGCCCCCAGAGGCTCCCAAGTTGCCCCCTCCTCGTCCTCCTCCTCCTCCTCCTCGTCCTCGTCCTCGTCCTCGTCCTCGTCCTCCTTCCCCTCCTCCTCCTCCTCCTCCTCCTCCTCCTCCTCCTCCTCCTCCTCCTCCTCCTCCTCCTCATTCTCCTCCTCCACCTCCTCCTCCTACTGATTGTCCCGCCATCATCTCCCAAGTGTTCTCCAAAGGGTTTCCACAACGGTCGGGGAGCACATGGTCCGACAGTATAGCAGAGCTCTTGCCACAAAGCTCGGCCACATGGGCGATTCCAAAGGGCAGGGGGCGGTGGCGATTCACCGTAGGCGTCTTCGATATTGGCATAGCCCAATACAGAGAACTCGACGGCGGCGTCAGACAGGCCAGGAGCGCCGTAAGACGGGCAAGAAGGCCCCCGAAAAGCCCCCGAAAAGCCCCCAAGAGGCCCAAGGAGGCCCCAAAGATGCCTCAACGAGGCTCCCAGGAAGCACCCAGGAGGCCTCCAAGATGCATCCAAGAGGCTCCCAAGATGCCCTCCTCCTCCTCCTCCTCCTCCTCCTCCTCCGCCTCCTCCTCCTCCTCCTCCTCCTCCTCCCCGTCCTCGTCCTCGTCCTCGTCCTCCTTCCCCTCCTCCTCCTTCTCCTTCTTCTCCATCTCCTCGTCCTCCTCCTCCTCCTCCTCCTCCTCCTCCTCCTCCTCCTCCTGCTGATCTTCCCCGCCATCATCCCTCAAGTGTTCCCCGAAGGCTTTCACAACGGCTCAGGGAACACATGGTGCGATAGCTTGGCAGAGCTCTTGCCACAACGCTCGGCCACATGGGGCGATTCCAAAAGAGGGGGCGGTGGTGATTTGCCGTAGGCGTGAACCCAATACAGAGAACTCGAAGGGATGAGTACATCCCAACTCGTGCCTCAGGGCACGGTGGCGGATCAGCTACAGCGCCGGAATCAGCGCGTGCGAGCGGAGCGGGCAGTGGCAGCGGGCGTTGTCGTTGCTCCGCGAGCTGCTCGGGGCAGGGCTGGGCCCCAGCGCCCCCGTCTACAATGCCGCGGCTGGCGCGTGCCGTAGAGGGCGGCAGTGGCAGCAGACGCTGGCCTTGCTTACCGAGTCGCGGAGCTCGACGATCGAGCCAGACGCATTCGGCTGCAGCATCGGAGTCAACGCGTGCGAGAGGGGTGGCCGCTGGCGGGGGGCGCTGTTCCTGCTCGGGGAGTCGCGGGCGGCGCAGATCGAGCCATGCGCGATCGGCCACGGCGCTGGAATCGGCGCGTGCCAGAAGGGCTGGCAGTGGCAGCGGGCACTCTCGCTGTTCGGCGAGCTGCGGCCTGCGCTGCGGCCCGACGCCACCACCTGCAGCTTCGGGATCGACGCCTGCGAGAAGGGCGGCCAGTGGCACGGGGCACTGGTGCTAATCGGCGAGCTCAAGGGGGAAGTTGAGGGGATCGCGCGCCTGTGGGGTTCAGACGCTTGCCGTCCAGACAGAGACAGTCAGGCTCATCCTCCTCTATTCCCTGCTCCTCCTCCTCACCTCAAGAACTCCTCTGAGCCCCCTCAGACATCCTAACACATGTTCCTTCCTCATCATCAATCCTCTTGCTTCCTCCTCCTCCTTCTCCTCCTCCTGCTTTGTCCTCCGCCTTCGCCTCTTTCTGACTGATCATCCGCCCCCCTCCTCTCTTCCCCCCCCTCTCCCTCCTTCATCCCCCTCTTCCCCCTCCTCCTTCTCCACTTCCTCATCGTCCTCCCCGAACTCGCCATCCCCCATCCCGCCTCTTACTCATCGTGGTCATCCTCGTACGCCTCCCCCCCTCGCCCATCCTCTTCAGTCCCCGCGCCGGCGCAGGCCCTCATCTGGGGCGAGCAGAACGGCCACGACAACAATTTCTTCGATTTCTTCTGTGAGAAGAGCGCCCTTCTCCCTCGCCCCCCTCACCCGCGCGGCCCACGGCCACGGCATGCCATGAAGCCGCGAGCCAAGAAGCCGCGAGGAGCAGGGCGACGAGACAGAGGCGGAGTCGCAGGAGGAGCAGGAGGAGGAGGAGGAGGAGGAGGAGGAGGTGTAGTTTACGGAGTTTGGGAGGAGGAGGGGTTAGAGAGGACGAGGACGGGGAGGGGAAAGGGTAGGAGGAGGGGTGGTGGGAGGAGGAGGAGGAGGAGGAGGAGGAGGAGGAGAAGAAGAAGGAGAAGGAGGAGGAGGAACAGGAGGAAGAGGAGGAGGAGAATGAGAAGAAGGAGAAGAAGGAGAAGAAGGGGAGGGGGGGATGAGGAGGAGAAGGAGGAGGAGGAGGAGGAGGAGGAGGGGTACAGGGACGGAGACAGGCCAGGTGCTGGGTGGCGGGAGAGGGAGGAGGGAGGATTGTTGCGTCGGTTGTTCTCGACGGGTTGTAGGTACGCCGAGAGCCGATATGCGTTTAGGAAGCACCCAGAGCGTTCGGAGTTCATCCTCCTTCTCTTCGTCACTGTTCTCATACTTCTCGGTCGTGCTGTCAGTCTTGTGGGCGCACAGCAGCCAGGAGCAGCTGCTCAGGACATGGTGCGCACCTCACGATCTCCAATTCGAAAGTAGCCATGTCGTACTCGGCATTGGTTTCCGCACATGGGGACAGTGGGGACAGTAAATGACAGAATGAGAAAAAGCAGAAGAAGAAGAAGAAGATGTTTCTCACGTTGTGCGCCACAGAGGAGAAAAGCATGGCCCCTGCCGTGCCGCTGCACTCGCGCGGGCTGGAACACCAGCGCCTGGCAGACAGCGTTGCCCGGCCATGCAGCGAGAGACCAGGAGAAGCAGGCAGACGATGACAACCGCACAGGTGGTAGGCCAGAGCCGGCTGAAAGTAGGCAGGAAGGCAGGCGGGAATGTTGAGCGGTCGCCAAGTGGCGCGGCCCAAGGTGTATCGGCATCAGGTCACCGCGGGGCGGGTTCCGGCGGCGAGTACGGGGGGCAAACAAACCTACCTCGCTTTTGACCACCCTCGTTTCCAAAAGATACCAAGCGATGCCAAACTACGGCCTGCACTGGTCAGGCCGCTTGACGAGGAGGCGAATGGTATGACTTGGTTTTGCCTGGAAGCGAAAGCGGGGTAGGTAATGCACGCTCTGAGAGTAGCGGTTGCCTCGCGGTGCCAGGAGCCGGTGTCGCGGGCATCGTTGGGGCGGTCGCCAAGAGTCGACGACGACCCGTTGGGACGCACGCTGTCGACGGCCAAGTGGCGGACGAGGCTCGGGGATCGAGGGCCCCAAAGGTTCCTCTACCCACTCCACGTTTTCGCCCCTGGCATCGCTCGGACGTGTGTATTTTTTCTCGGGGAGGACCATTCAGGACCATCCTTGATCATTTGGCGAAAAAGCCACGCACGAAACCGAAACAAGCACGGGGAATGGACGTCCGAGCGATGGCGAGCGCCCGCTCGGCCGCCGAATGGGCAGCTGAACGGACTCAGTTCCAGCAGGCTGGTGGGCATTGAACTCGTCTGGGCGCCGAGCGTGCTCAGAAAGGGCCCCTGTGGGGTTGAGAGCTGTTGCGTCTTGGGCCCCCATTCTGGGCTGCCAGCAGCTTCCACGGGCCGTCGGGGCCCCCGCGCGCCCCCGCCGTCGCGGATGAGCGCGACGGAGGCGGCGTAGTCCAACAGTGGGCGGTTCCCGTTTCCCTGGGCCACACGCTGCCACTCCCTGGGTCGTGTTACGTTGCTGCTATTACCGGCGCAGTGAGATCGAGCAAGAACAGGTGGTTGATTTGGGGTACAGCGTTGCGGATCTTCTGTGGGGAACGTTTCGTCGTATTGCCAGTGCTTGTCGTGCCGCCAGTGCCCACCGCTGTGCTCGGCGGAACCTGGAACGCTGCGGGGTGTCAAGCAGTACAGGGAGCAGCCTGGTGGCGGAGAGCGCCCTCGCGCGCGCCCGCTGGGCCAATCGGGGGCTGGCCGAAGAAGGCCCGCAAAGCAAATCGCCCCGCGACCGAAAAGCGAGCTCTTGGCAGCCTCGAGTCAACATGGAAAGCGTCTTTCGCGAGCGGTCCACACATCCATATCGATGCCCTCGCGGTGGACACCGCGGCGTGATCCCATGGATGCGCGATGCTACATAGATATACAAAATACATATGTATATATATATATACACATACACAAATACATATACATTCCGCGCGGGGCATCCGCACATAGCCGTAGAGCAGCTAGGGTCGTGGCCGAAGAGTCTGGGGCCGCGAGGAGTTGGACGTGGGTATGTTTCTCGCCCACGCGTCTGGGCAGGATCTGCGATACGTGGATCCAGGAAGGACGTTGGCCGACCTGTTCCTTGCGATGCACCCCCACGGACTTGTTGTTCTGGTGTTTGGGGGGACATCCATCGTTATTCTTTGAACCCCTCCGCTTTCACTCCCCCTTTCCCATGTCTCCCATGATTTTCCCCCTCCCGCTCCCCCCCTTTCCGCGAGGAGGAAGAGGAAGAGGAGAAGGAGGAGGAGGAAGAAGAAGAGGAAGAAGAAGAAAGGGCGGGTGAGGGGGAAGAGGAGGAAGAGGAGAGCGAAACAGGATGAGCGGGAGGAGGTGGAGGAGAAAGGATCCTCTCCTCCGAGGGCTCGATTTATCGTGGCGTGGGCCTCTGGGTCCTCTTCCCAGGGTCCGTCTTTCCATCCAGGTCCGTCCGTCTGTCGGCCCTGTCTGTCCTTCCCTGTCGCCCTCCCTCCCTCTCCCCCTTCTCGCTCCTCGGCTCCTCGCTTTCCTGCCCGTTTCTTGCCCTTGCCTGGCCCGCTTTTCTTTGTCGGCCTGCGCCGCGGTCCGAATAAGAGTCGCGGCGCTGCCTGCTGAGGATTGTGACTGTACGAGCATTATATTCTCCTTGGGCCTTCGGTGGAGCTCCTTAGGGAGCGGCTACGGCCGTTTTTGTCGGCCCCTGGGTCCAAGACGGGCCTCTCCAGAGGCCCGACGGAAGCAAGGAACGACCAAAAGGGCGCATCGATCTGCGTGCGACGCTTGGATGCTGATGCGGAGGGGCAGGAGGATCCCCCCCTTCTCCCCAGGGGTCTCCGGAGGTCGCAGAAAGCCGTCGATGCCTCGGGAGGCCCATCAGGGGGCCAAGCGCAGCAGTGCTTGACCCTCGATTTTCGATCGAGGAGCGTGAGGACCCCCCTTCAACAGAGGCTTCCAGAGGTCGCGGAAGCCTGTGGATGTCTCGGGATTTCCAGCGGGTGGCCAGGCGCGTTGATGCTTGACCCTCGACCTTGGAACGAGAGGCACCCTCCCGCATCCCTCCCCCGTGAGACTGCGATGCTCGTGGGCAGTGGCCTGGCGGCGGACGTTGGTCATGGTAGATTGTCCAAGCGATTCGCGGAGGTCAGCTGCGGGTGGAGCGTTCGCCAAGAAAGATCTTCTACCTTCGAGGGAGGAGCAGGAGAACCCTCCCCCCTTCCCCGCACCCCCCCCCACCCCTGGGCCGGCGGCGGCGCAGGAGCATCCTGGCCGAGTTCGTGCGCGCCCTGGGGCTGCC